CCGCCAGGCGTTGGAAGGACTCTGAATGGGCAGCACAGCGAAGCATAGCGGCTTTGACCACTACCGCGAGCGAGCGGCGCTCACTCTTCATCCCAACGAAGGTGGCCTGTAACAAGGGCGTGGGGGGAATGCTGCGCCCGGGAGCCCATGCGATCAATTCCCGTGATTCTGGCTCTTGTGCCGGCGCCCCCTTCGAGGCTTCATGACATTGGCCAGCGCGTGAGCAGACAGAGCTCGCAAACTTATTGTAGCCAGAAAGGGATGTCGCGAGACCGGTTGCTAGAGCTTTGAACTCGCCGCCGCGAGTGCAGAGCTTTTGGCCGACCCGCCCCCAGGCAATATCAGGAGCAGAGCCCCCCAATTCCACCCCGAGATGCAACCCGTGCCGGCCCATCTGCCACCCCGAGATATCTAAGCCAACTGCCATGCTCTCCCGCGCTGCGCGCAGAAAGCTGAACGGCCTGGGAATGACAAGCCTGCGCTTCGGATAGTTGAGGGCGAGCCTCGAACGGGGCGCAGCTGCAACTTATATTGAAACAACTTGCAGCAGAACACGAGGCGGGTCTTCGGCGGCAGTGGTGGAGTCGTCAGCAGGTGCTGTTGGGGACACTGGCAATGCAGTACTGAGGTGAGCACTGGCGCGAAGCATGGGATCGACATCGAAAACGAATCGGAGGCCTCTCGGAGGATCCCCTTGATTTACCCCACGGAGCGCCCAGAGACCGCCGACGTCGCATCCGCGAGTGCAGATGCTACACCATGAGTGCTTATATCAGCCTCTGCTACACTTGATGAAACAGGAGGGGAAACTCCAGCGCTGCAGAACCATGAAGAGCCAGGGGTGGAACACGGATGGGCGGCGCTCTTCATGTCAAAGAGTGCGCCACCAGATTTGGACGCCCGAAATGGGCACGGACAGAATGGGCACTATGCCCAACAACAAATGTTGTCCCAAGCCAACAGGGGCCGCTGTTGGGCAGGCGGCCTTCTGTCTCGAATGGACACAGGCCGCGGCGGCGTGGACAGCGAATCCTGCTCAAAATGGACAGGAATTGTTGTTGGGCATTGTACCCATTCTTTCAGTGCCCATTTCGGGCGTCCAAAGCAGAGACTTGCGAATCATCTAATGATTGCCACATTATCCTCCCATCAAGATCAATCGTATTGTCAGCTGGTGACCTGCCTCCAGTCAATCCCCGTTGAGTATCGTCTAGCTTGTCCTCATAGAGGCCTCCTGGATGGGGTCGGTGTAGATGGGGTCGGAGGATCACACCGCATCGGGGATGCATCGGCGACGCATCGGGGATGCACCGTCGATGCACCGGCGACGTCGGCGGTGCATCGTCGGCGTCGACGCGAAGCTAATCGAGCTGCACATCGAGCCGCGTCGCCGATGTATCGGCGATGCGGCGCGATCCTCCAGGCCCATGTATTCCGACCCCATCTTGGAGGCCTAGACCTCGGCAACCTGCATGGTAAGATAAGAGATATGGGGTATATCTGATCCTGTTGTCAGTGTCGCTAAAAGCAAGCGGTCGAGCGTCGCCGCAAGCCTCGGCAGCTGCACCAGGGGCGCGCGCTCCTTTGGGAAGGAAGCGGAGCTTAGAAGTTAAACTCTGGCGACAGCAGCTGGCAATCCATGCGGAACAAGTAATGGCCCCGCAACGCCTGCTTGATCAGCGGGCGCGGGCGCTGCCAGGCACTGTTGGGCATGCCATCGGGTCCTGGGCTAGAATCAACCTTGGACTTAACAACGTACTCAAATAGGTCCTCAGAGACAATCCGCGGAAAACCTTGGCGGGCGGCGCTGGCGAATTGGCACGGGTCGTTTGGGGGGGGGCGGGGTGAGCTCCAAGAACCTGGTGGCGGCGGGCAGGTTGGGGTCGCCCCCGGAGAAAACCTGGCCCCAGAAATCAGAAAGCTCTTGACCCATGGCGGAATCCTGGGAGATCCCATTACCCTGGCCACCCAGAATGGCCGATAAAAGTGCATTCGGGCGGTTGGCTGCCCAAGCTTTCGAAAGACGCCGGATCCTCGCGAAGTGCCGCTCCTCGCGGTTGCCGGAGACCTCGCGGGCAGCGATGCCGCGCTCTCCGGCGACAAGTACTCGCCTAGAAAAGCTCGCCCACGCGCGCGCAGAGACAAGGGCGATCGGGCCATTCATTCCGCCGAGCACAATAATATTTGCCAAGTGTTGGACATGCGCGAATAACGGCACGCACCGCGGAAAGGAGATGCTTGAGTAGAGGGGGGGCAGGAGTCAGGGCGATGGCGAGCAGGTAGGGCGCGCGCAGCGCAAAACAATTAATAGACCACGCGAGCTTCTCATCGCCGGCGCCCGCGCCGCCGCGAAGAATGTCGAATTAGACCTGAGTAGCAGAATTATGCATGATACTGTAAATGTCGAGTTGTCTTTGGTCAGGGTCCTCGGATAGATCGGCGGAAAGATGCGTCAAACCGTGGGCGCTCGGCGATCCAAGGTGGAATGGGCGGGCGGCGTCGGCCTGGATCAAGACGCTGAAGACAGAGAAAAAAGGGGGTCGTGATCTGAGGGCTTCTTGAAATCCGTTGGAGGCCACATGGCGCCACTTTCAGGTGCTACATCTAGCAAGCCAATAGTCGGCATGGCATGTCTGCGCGCATGCGATCGGCGCGCGCCGAAGAAGACCTCGCTCCTCCTCGCGCGATGGGCGTGGCAAGCCGGTGCGATCTCTAGTGTGGGGGGGGGGGGGGGGGGGGGGGGGGGGGCGCTGCCGAAACTCAATGGCAAAACGAGTTGGGGCAGATCTCTCTGCTGCCTCCAGCGCAGAGTAGCGATCGCCGCCAGCTTCAAGACAGTTAACCGCCGAAGAGAAAAATAGTCGTGGTCTCTGCCGACCACATCGCGCGCTTCACTCGTCGGAATAGGGCTATGAGTTCTGGGTGAGGGAGACCAGGAGCGACATGGATGTGGATGCTTTGGAAGGAAGCATGCGGACCATGCAATCCAAGAGATGCGAATCTCCCCTTCGCAAGCTCCCAGAAGGCTTCACCCTCGAACTGACTGAGGAGTGGTTGGCGAACGCAGGTGACAACTCCGCCGGCGCCTGGGGCATCGCAGAAGCTGCCGAAATGGGCGTGGCTCTTGAGATTTCCTTCTTGTGTGTGAAGGTCGCCGCTCGTGCCGCGTGCCCCCTGCGCTCGTGCAATGTCGCGCGCGCGTCAAGTTCCCCGCGCGTTGACGCGCGCGTTGCTGAGTAGCATGTCTCACCCATAGAGACCCCGACACGGCATGCGCATTCCACGTCACAATCGAGAACTTCTGCACAAGGACGCATGGGGATCATCCTCCACCACCAGAGTCGGAGCTGGAGTCGCAACTGGAGTCGGAGGAGGAAGAGGGAGAGGGCGAGGCGCGACTGTACACAGGCACAGCACCAAGATAATTATACACTGCCTTAACTGACTGCGAGGCTCCCTGCCGCGACATGTCAACGTATTCCCCCTCGCGAGCGGCCTCAGACTCAATCGGATTCATGATGTCGTCTCGGCGGGCCCCCCACTCGGCGAGCTCCCCCCTCGATGTTGGGCTCGAAGACGAAGTGATCCTCGCCGCTGCGGATGTTGACAGCTTTGGCCGAGATGAGGCTCCACGCATCTGCGTCTGTCTTCAATTGCATCACTCCTCTGAATCCGTCGACTCCAAGCTGACACCCGGCTGACAATTTATGGAATTTCCGGAGCAAATCTCGCACTGGATGGTACAGCTTGTGGAAAGCTATCGTCTTGTTGTGAAATGGCAGAATCGGTCCGCGCGAATCCCACGGGCATGCTGAGCTTTGGTTCTGGGGTCAGCCCATGGGATGCCAACGCGCTTAGCTTGTTTCTGGAACTGGGCTACCTCCTCTTCGTTGGGGAAGCTGATATGGTAGCCTTGGGCCACCGCGAAAAACGTCGGCACGGCATTGACAAGGAACTGTGGGCAGCTACGCTGCATCGAATCGACATGTTCATGGCGAACCATATCCAATATGTAGAAAGCAGAAAATCCACCCAAATAATAACCACCCCGACACTCGAAACCGTTTAGTAAACGCACCGAAAAATGGAACCAAACAGGGCAATCTTGTTTAGTAAACGCCCAAGGCCGGCTAGTAAGCGCAAGTTGTCCGGTCCGGGTAATATATCCTCCCTTGAAAATGGGCCGAAGGAAGTGCCCTACGACCTTCAGGCACGGATCTTCACCAGTGTCGTCCTCCCCTCGGCGACGCTTGGTGTCCATGGAGTTGCCATGCTTCGTCGCCCACGGACTTGCCGAACTCGAAGGTGCTGGCGCCGTCGATAAAAGTGATATCTCCTTCAGCACGCGGGTCTCGTCCTGGATTTTCTTCGGGAACACGGACACTTCAGCCAGCTGCGCACTGATGGATGTGATGTGCATCTCCGGATGCCCCACATGCGAAGAAAGAGTCTGCACATTCACCTCGACTGAGCAAAACCGGGCTTCCAGCTGCGTTTGGATGGAGTTATTGCAGTCGGCAACTGATGCCCGGATGACGGACGTGAGCTGGGCGATGATCGCTCCCTCCGACATGGCGGCGGCGCCACGGGAGCGACTCCCAATTCACAACTCGGATGTGTGTGTCCGCTCGGGCTCGCACTCGAATCGCCCGCTGAAGCGAGCTGCCGCACTCGAGGCAGAATGGGGAAGGCGTCCCACGCTACCGTTGTTGGCGCTTGAACCAAAACGGCTACGGAGAGGAGGATGAGGAGAAGGAGGAGGAGGAGGAGGAGGAGGAGGAGGAGGCAGGGCCCCAAGACACGAGAGGGCGGTCAAGGGCAAGATACGAGACGGATGCCCGCCAGGGAGCAAGAGCGTCGAAGGAAGTCCGCCGCCTCTCCGGGAGGCTTTCGGTGTACCCGAAATCTTGACTGAGAAGAGGCGCTGGGAGCCAGCGAGGAGCCTCCTCTTCGCGGCCATGGAGGCGCGAGTGGGGGCGCTCGCTCCCCCCCCCGCGGGCCGACGTCTCGATGTGCGCGCCGCACTGGCCGCAACCGAAGCCGTCGCTCGGCGCCTGCGCCGCGGAGCGTGCAAGGGGGCGCGGGACCCTCCAGTGTCGCTGGGCAAAAAAAAAGGAAAGTCGAGGACGTCGAGGAGGAAGGGGGGACACGGAGGAGGTGAGCACGAGGAGGAGGAGGAGGAGGACGAGGAGGAGGCGGTGAGCACGAGGAAGAGGACCAGGAGGAGGGGGGGAGTATGAAGATCTAAGCTTGCCGAACATCCAGAAGCAGGACGGGGGGCTGGGGGAGCAGGAACGCCGGCCGCGCAGACACGTGACGGCCTCCCTTCGGAGCCAGAGGGGCTCGAAATTGTTTAGCAGAAGTGTCCCTCTTCGGTGCGACTTGGAGAGCGGGAGGACGACCACGACGACGCCGACGACTCTTACCATGACAACGACGACAGCGGCGCCGGTCGCGGCGACGACCACTCTATCGGCACCGGGGACTCTTACAACGATAAGGGGGGTTTGGTCAACAGTCGCAGGCTTATCCCTCCCCCCAAGATGGGCAAAGGCAGAAGGCGACGACAGGTTCGGGGGTGCGTCCATAGAAGCCGAGGGGATCCTTAAGATGGGCATCGACACGAGGTGATGTGCATCATAGAGATAGGGGTACCCGTCGGTCGGAAGATGCAGGTAGGTGTTGGAAGTAGACTGGGTTTCCGCCCGCCCCCCAAAGAAGAAGGCACAAGTGGAACCACTCGATCGCTGAAGTAGGAAGGCGCCTGAAGCAGATTGGGCCCCGAAGCTCCAAACATACCCAATTTCAAACGACCGACGGGTACGGGAACGCTTCTGGCTGGCGAGGGGGGCGGCGGGAGGCGGGGCTCCCACTGCCGCTCCCCCGCCCCCCTCCTCCGCCGCTCGGCGGGGGAATGGGCGGCGGGCTGCCGGAAGGGGCAGCGGGCCCCTGCTGCCGCTGGGGCGTTGGGGGGGGATCAGCGGAACGGAGGGGACGGCGAGGAGAAGGGGAGGGGGAGGGGGAGGGGGAGGGAGGGGGGGGAGGAAGGGACAGGATAAGGGACTCACGGATGCGGCGGGGCGAGTCTCCGACGGTACGGGCGGGATCCCTACACAACTGGCGATTTACCAACAGTCGAGACCACCAGGACAAGTGATAGCCCAAACGAAGCGGGTGAGCTTGCAACTCATGAAATGCATACTGTCATCGCAAATTCGGAACACTGGGTGACTCTCTTACAGGGATTGCAATCGATTCCTGCTGTCATGTATACATTGTTGAACACGTCGTGCGCCCTCGGCCAAGGACCCTGATGGATTCCGCAGCAGCCCCCAGGGCGTGCTCAGCAGAGCATTTCAAGGGATCCAAAGTGACTTCTCTGAGTTATCTCAAGGCCCTCTACGAATTCAGTGGGATCCCCTAGGGTTCCTAGCGATTCCTTCGAATTCCGCATGGTCCCTATTGGTGGTTCAAGGTTCCCCAGGATCCTGTGAAGATTGCTATAGACCCTGGCCTCAGGTTTGTCCAGGTGTCTTGAAGGATCAGCTGGGCTTACTGAGACCTACTCTAGACTTCCCGAGGGACCCTCCGACTGAGGAACATCGGCATGACTTTCGGATTCATCCAGGATTCGGACGCGATGCTGCAATACTCCTCTGGGGTTGAGGTTTCCCCATGAGCCCTCTATGCGTCCTAGGTTCCCTTAGACATCCCAGAACATTCATTACTAATCCTCTCAAGTCCGCTGGGGTCTCACAAGAACATAACCATCGCCGTTGGTATATCCTCCGTGAGTTGGTATCTCACTTGTCCGGTTGTGGCCCGCATGCTTCTCACTCAGGGGTGGACGGTGTTGGCGACGGGACGGAGGGAACAGGAGGGCATAGAGCTTTGCTCTCCATCGCCTCTGTTCCTCCCCTCATTCTTATCCTCTTCCCCCGCCCACTTCCCGTCAGAACTCCGCTTTCACCAAGTAGTTCCTTCTCCCCTTTCACCACCACCATGTCCTCCACCTCCTCCCCAGTATGGAGTTGAATATTTTGGTGGCACGGACCACGCCGTCCCAATGTGCCATGGACAATGCCCCGAACATGCGTCGCAACGGTGCGGCCGCAACCGCAGAGTGTCATTCGCTAGTGCCAGGCAACCTCGGATGCGATGACTGATCGCCTGCACGGCCACGTCTGCGCAACGGAGCATGGCCAACCGGTAGAAGAAATCTGACAACATGATCAATTACGCCGATCCAGCGTGTGAGTTTCAAAGGCCCTCAGATATAGCCTGAGCCTCAGTTCTTGAGGTTCAGCTCTGCTGGGGGGGCGGGTGCCGGGGTGGGGGGTGGTTCCGAATCAATTTTGGTGGCGAAATCGGAGCTCCAGCTCACTCCGGGTCGGCCCCTCGCCCCGGAGAGCTCGAACGCGGGCTCCTAAAAACCCAGCGGCCGCCCAGACGGCCCAAGAGGGCCCTGAGTGGCGGAAACATCGCTCCAAGACACTCAATCTGTTCCTCAGACGGCTCCAGAAGCCTCCAACGTGCCCTCCCGACACCTCCTGAGAGTGCCCAAAGACGGAAAATCCGTCCCACTCCCTTCGGACAACTTTTTTTTTCATTTTCGCTTCTTCGGCCTCCGCAGTGTCCACCACGGCCCAAGAGACCCCCAAAACAGGCCAGAGGCTCTCAAGAGGGCCCCAAGTTGGCCCAAGAAGGGCCCAAGACGGCCCAGGAGGCCCCCAAGACAGCCCAAGCGGGCCCCAGGACGGGCCCAAGAAGCGCCCAAGAGAGCTCCATGACGGCCCCATAAGGGCCCAAGACGGCCCAAGAGGTGCCCAGGAGGCACCAAAATGGCCCCAGGAGTCCCCAAAAAACCCTGAGAGGCTCCAAGTGGCCCTCAAGAGACCCCCAAAAGGCGGCCAAAAGGGCTCCCGAAGGCATAACAATGACCTCCTACACACCCCCAGGAGGCCTCCAGGATACCTCCTGCATGAAAAACCCAAGAAGGCCCCCAAGAGGCTCAACAATCGGTCCAAGACGCCCTCCCAGGAGGCCTCGAAGATGCGTCGTAGAGGCCCCTCAAGAAGCCCACGCAATGCCTTCAAGCTGCTTCCAAACCACTTACGGTTGAACAAACGCGCTGGGGCGAAAGCGTCCTTCTGACAGCTGGATCGCCCCGGATCGGCGGCACCGGCCGGAGGCCTCTACAATAGACGTCTCTCCTCCGTGCAGCTCGCTCGAGACCCTACACCGTTCGCTTCACACGAAAATTTCTAGCTGCTGGCGGAAAGCATTTGGCACACGGTGGGGTCCCAACACAATGCGGCGAAAGACACGTGCCAAGCAACCGCCACCAGCCCACCATCCACCCGTCCCGAGGGTACCTCTGCTTTAATGGCATCACGATTGGTCGGCGCAATGGGGTTTGGCGAAGAATCGTGGCCTGAATGAGGACCACGAAGGTCAGATCGCGTCGGAGTGAGTGTCGTCGGTGCAGCAAGCCACCAAGGCGATGATAGAGCTCGCATGCGCTGCCGCGTCGTTGCAGCAAGACAAACACGTGGCGATAATATGTGCGAGTGATGAGAAATCAAGACAAGCACACGACGGTTGATTAGATGTGCGAGGGATTAGGGTCCATGGCCGAGGGTGCATTCAGCAATCTTCAGAGGACCCTGAGGAGGAGGACGTGGTGGTGATGGAAGAGTAAAAGAAACTACTTCGTGAAAGAGGAGTTCGGACGGGAATCGGGCGAGGGAGACGGAGAAGGATGAGGAGGAACAGTGGCGGTGGAGAACAGCATTCTGTGTCCTCCTTTCCCTCCGTCCCGTCGCCAACACCGTCCATCTCTGAATGAGGAACGTGCAGGCCAAAACCGGACGAGGGAGATACCAACCCTCCGGGGGAGTTCCCAACGGCGACGGTTCTCTCCTGGTGGACGGGAAGTGGGCGGGGGAGGAGGGGGAGGAGGTTCAGAGGCCCGGAGAAGGGGGAAATCAAAAGGTACCGATACTGCTACTCCCCGGACCTCTCCCCGGGCGCGTTCTGACCAGAATTTCGAGGCGCATCCAGCGGTGGCGACGGGGGCCTCCACAGAGGCCCAAAAACGGGAGCACGAGGGAATAACAGCGGTATGGGTACCTTTCCCTCCTCTCGGCTACACCCTGGGTAAGAGTGACCTTTGGTCAAACGGCTACACACCACTGGCTACTCCCTCCCCTCGGCTACACCCCTTTCCCTCCTCTCGGCTACACACCTGGTTTGGGGGCAACGGCGGGATCAAACACAATCGCGCAAGACGCTACTACCGCATCGCGTTCGGCGAACGTGGGTATGCCCGCACTACAGGTCACTCCGGCGAAGGGTCACTCCTACGTGTAGTCGATCCTCTGAGTTGAGAGGCCTGGAGTATCCAGCGGTGGCGACGAGGGCCTCCGTGGAGGCCCCAAAGAGGGGAGTACGCGGGAAGGGCAGCGGTATGGGCTATGGGTACCTTCCCCTCCTCTGAGTTGAGAGGCCCAGGAGGGTTGGCGGCGCGCACAGGGGGGTAGGGGGAGGGTCGAGGATCGAGGATCGAAGAGCGAGGGTCGAGGAGGATCGAGGATCGAAGAGCGAGGGTCGAGGAGGATCGAAGAGGGTCGAGCCGGGTCGAGGATCGAGGGGCGTCGAGGAGGGTCGAGGAGGCCCGGGGTGGGATCGCGGAGGGCCGAGGCGGGGAGCTGGGGACGGGGGGTCATTGGCGTGTGAGCGGTTGGGGGACGCCAACGGCTCAACGAAGAGCGCCCAGGGTGGGCGGCCGTCTCAGAAGGAGGCTGCCTCTTAGAAGGCGCCGCCCCTGCATCTGCAGACGGGGCCCGCGCCTTCTGAGAAGCAGCGGTGCTTCGGAGACGCCGTCCCCCTACCCCCCTGCACCCCCTCCCCCTTCTGCGCGAGGCCGAGAAGGGGCAGCGAGCATGGCCCCCGCGCCCTGCACTCGTCCAGGTCGTGGCCCTGCTCGTCTGCAATGCGAAGCCTTCCCCCCCTACCCCCCCCTACCCCCCTCCCCCCCTGCGCGTGGCCGAGAGGGGGGCAGCGCGCGGGGCCCCGCGCCCTGTACTCGTCCAGCTCGTGGCCCTGCTCGTCTGCCAGCGCCGTGCAGGGCGGCGCGCCCTCCACCAGCTCCGGGTCGCCCCTCGGGGGCGCGGCGCCCGGAGAGGCTCCGCGGCGGGCGCCCTCTCTGCTGCCCCGCCCTGCCTGCTGGGCTCGCCTCCTCTGCACCTCTGCTCCTCTGCCCTCCCCCCCCCCCCCCCTCTTCAAGCTGCCCCCCCCTCCTGCTGCCCCCCCTCCCCCCTGTTCTGCCTCCTCCCTTGCTCCTGCGCCCTCGCCTGCTGCCCCCTCCCCTCCGTTCCCTTGCCTCCTTCCCTTCCCCCCTGTCCCTGTCTCCTTCTGCCCTCCCCTCCTGCGGATCTCTCCCCTCTGCTGCCTCTTCCCTTTCTCCTGGTCCCTCGGTTGCTCCCCCCCCTCTGCTCTCTGGGGGGAAGCAAACAGGACGGGCACCGCTACTTCTTGGACTCGCCCCGATGTGCCTCCTGAGCAAGATTTCGGGCCCCCGCCCTCCGCGCGCTGGACGAGCCACGGTGAGGCCCAGGGCTGGTGGATGCTAAGTGCGTGCCAGGGCGGGGCCCTGCAAGGGCGAACTCAGGAGTCAAGGTGGATGTGGTCGGCCTTGCCCCGTATCCTCCTCCTGGCCCACCGTGGCCCCGCCTTCTGTTGGACTGGGCAAGAGGCAAGCGAGACACAGCCACCAGGCCGACTCAGGCCCGCATCGGGCAATTTCGTTGTGAACGTAGGCGCCCCCCTGACCCGACTGGCAGCCGATGGGAGAGCGTCTTCGGTGTAATATTTACGGATGCAAAATCCCAATCTCCCCTGCTCTGGAGCCGCGCCCCAATCGAAGATCCTCCTTCTCCTCTGCGGAACCGGGGCCCTTAGCCGTTCCCTGGTGGGACCTCCCACTGGGACTTCCTCCCATCGAACTGACAAGACGCGCTTTTCAATACCACTAGTAATGTGGCCCACCGGACTGGTCCGGACTTGCGTTGTGTCTGTGTGTACTTGTGCTTTGGTATCTCTGTCCCTCCCCTTCTCTCCATATGTGTGTATATATGCATATCTACATCGTCAACTGCACCAAGAAACACACATCTAACATATGTAATATGTCTCTAGTGTATACCGCAACTTAGTCGCGCACGAACTGTGCCGTCATCTATAGCAGGCTGTGTGGATGGGGGTATGTCTCGCCTGTCTTGCGTGCGCGACGACTCGAATTGGCCTGCTCCTTCTGCGGGCTCGCACTCTCTTAGCCGCTTAGAGTGGACGATTCTCATACCATATTTGGTCTCAATACACTTTGGTCGCCCAACACTCGTACGGCGGAGCAGGGCCCAAAGACTTGAAACAACCCACGGCGTCGGCTGTCAAGAAACGCGTCAGGATGGGAGAAGACCATGATGCTCACACGACAAGCTGCACAAACCGTGCCACCTGAAATACGTGGAACACTATACGCGCATGCTCCCGGGCTAGGTGGCAAGGCTGTCCTGCGAACGTGGCCGAAACCCAAGTCGTCAATTCGGACTGGCAAAAGAAAGGAAGGGTAGGTACAAAGTGAGGGAGGGAAGGGTGATGGTACCAGTGCTCGGTTCAGAACCGTGGCCCGACAACGAGAAATGGTCCCGAACCTGGGCAGGAACAGCAAACATAAACGGGGCGGAAATGCGGGCAGCTATAACGATACGAATCCACAATGCACGTGTACAGGCGACGCGGGGGAAACCAAAGGAGGAAGGAGAGATGATTGAAGAAAGAAAGAAATAAAGAAAGAGCGAGAGAGAGAGAGAGAGAGAGACGCTACACGCGCGCACGATGCATCACTGCACCCGCTTACGGTCGCGAAGCCGAGTCCAAGCTTGAAGCGCGGGGCGCTGGGCAGGCGGTGAGAGGGAAAACCAAACGAAAAGGCCGTCGTGAACGGCCATGTGCGGCTACGAAACGCCGCCGTATTGGTGGGCAGGGCGCGAAGCCAAGGTGTGACCATTCATTTACCGGCCACCGGCACAATCGTCGGAGGAAAGAAGGAAGGGAAAGAAAAGGTACTACAAAACCTCCTGCCCATTCTGGATGGAGCGCAGCAGAGACTCCAGAGCAGAGTGGCCTCGGGCGCCTTCCCGCATCGAATCATGAGCGGACGTGACAGAGCCAACTCGCAGGGATCAGCATCAGGCTTCGCCGCGCGCCTTTACGTCGTAAACAGCGTCTGTGCCCCCAAGAACGTGGCCCGAACCGCATTGCCTTCGCCATGCCGCGAACGAGCAGAGCGGCCAAAAAACAAGAAAACAAAACAACCATCTCCTGGGCGTGTGAAGCACAATGCGAAACGCAAAAAGCACCCCGCAAGATGCGCACTGCTCAGTCGAATCCCCCCCGAGGCTGCATCCACGCTTGCAGCCCGCTCTGCCGTGGAAGCGGCGCGCCATGCATTAGAAATGGCGCGGGCGAAGGCGGCGAGCGCTCGATGGGGCGACCAGACCGACAGCAGCTGGCATACCGCACGCAGCCTGTCAGGCCGACGGCGCGGGAAAGCGTCAATAGGCCACCTGCGGGCGTGTGACAGGGCAGGATTGATGAAAGGTCTCAGAACAACGACCGCCTGGCGCTGCCACGTCTTCCGCTCCGCGTCGTGCATCGAGCCGGTGTCCAGCAGACAGGGAGGCGACGCCCCGGGCACGCGCTGCCATCGCAACGGTGCCTGCGGCCCCCAATGGCAGCAGAAGGAAGGACGAACGGATCCACCCGGCCATCCGTAGACTGACAGTGCCCGACGTGCACCCGAAGACCGCCTGTTGTCGTAATGGCACGTCCGAGCAGCCAACGCCGTAGCACAAGCTGCACAGCGAAGCGCAGCCGCGGTTGAAGCTGCAGTCCGTGAGGGTCTGCAGCGCCGGCGCTGTAATCCAACACCCCCGCTCAGGGGCGAATTGAAACAGCGTCCAATTTTCTTGTTGAAACGCATCCGGAGGAACCCGCTCGAGCTGGGCGACGAAGAGGAGCACGCTCAGGATCTAGATGCGGCGCGCCGTCGCCGCCAGGCAAAATCCAACGCCAACCGACCTCCGCGGCTCCGCGCGCCCGTGGGAATTCTTCAACGGATCGCTCCACGAGCGTCCTTCGCGGTCGGGGCCATCCCCAGGCCCCAAGTGAGCTCTATGCGAGGCGACCCCGATCTGGCCACACTCGGCGACCAACGCCGCGATGGAGGAACGCAGCTCAGCCAGGTCGATGCCCGAAAGGGGTGCCGCTGCCGTCTTGGTGATACCGACATGCAAGCTGATATCCCGGACGAAATCGCTCAAGATGCAGGCCAGTGCGGCGACGGTGCGGAGCCCGCCATGGAGGAACACCGCCGCGTCATCCGCGTGCCGCATAGGCACGGCGTAGCGACCAGCACAGACACCAAATGCGTTCAAGGATGGGCGACGAACCCGGGGGGGAAGTGAGAAGGGGCGGTCCCCTGGCATTCTGAGAAGTTGTATAAACCTTCCCCGAAGATATAGAACACCTCTCAGAAGGCGCGAGCGTTTCTGAGAAGCCCCGCCGCCTTCTGAAAAGGGCCTTTTCCTTTGTATTTCTCCCCCTCGCTCGCCGCCGCGAGGAGGTAGGACGAGGCAGCGAAGAGCAGGGGGGAGACAGGGCATCCTTGCCTGACTCCCCTTGTGATCACGAAACCGTCGTGCAGCGCCCCGCCGAGAGCAACGCTCCGCCTAGAGCAACCGTGCTCACGGTCCTTTGGGAAGCAACTGCTGGGAGGGTCTTCGTCGGAAGGGTTAAGGAGGGTTCAACCACATTGAGGGGCTGTTGCGCCAAATTAGGCCGCGGACAAAGCGGGATTAAACCAAATGCAACGGGATTAGGCGGGACTGAGCCAAACTAGCCGGACCAAACCCGAGTGCGGACCAGGGAAAAAATCAAAATTTGACCTCCCAGGAGTTGCATGCGGAACGTTCCTGCTGCAGCAAGCACGGCAAGGCCACAGCATTCACTCTGGCCATCCAACCAGCTGGACTAAACCAAGAAGCCGTAGGGAGAGAGCGAGAGAGAGAGAGAGAGAGCGAGGGTGTCAGGGTGCTCTGCCGCGTCGATGCACATCGCCTCCTCCAGACCGACGATGTTGGCCAGCGTGGACCCGTTGTGCAGGAGTCCGCGCTGTTATATAATGTAAGTGGCTTGCGGGCGATATGCTTGAAGCCTGCGGGCTGGTCTTGCACTGCTTCTTGGAGCTAGACGACATGTTGCACGTGATGCACACATGCCAGATCTGTGCCACCGTGCCGCTGGGCACGAGATGGAGTGTCCGCAGGTCCCCTGGAGTCCCCAATACAACGACTTTGTATTTGGACGCGGGCTGACGACTGGCCTCAGCGCCCTGCAAAGCGGACGAACGGCGAGGGCCCGAAAGGCTGAAAGGGACGAGGGACGGATCCAGGACCCAAGACAGAGCCGACCGAAGGGACCGACCGAAAAAACAAGGGACCGAAACCACGAGGGCCACAGTCACAGTCAGCAAGGCCTGGCCCCTCATCTGCAGGGTCAGGAGGCCCCAATCCTGGATTTACGGGGGCTCCCCTTTTTTTCCCCCGTGACAGGTCTCCCAACAAACTCCGTGAGCATGCAGGGTGCTCGCGATATCCTCCTCGCGCGGGGAGCAAAGTCAGCTGCAAGGCTGATCGAGACAAATGACTCGAGCAATCGAGGAGGGATCCCCAATCCGCCGCGAGGTCGCCTGGCGCCCACGCCCTCGAGATGCGACCAGTGTAGCCGCGGGGCCTGGGGAGCTGCCCTTTGAGCAGCATCGCCACCTGTCTGGGCTCTTTTGGTTGATGCATCCGCCGACGAGTAGGAAGGCACCAACTACACATATATATATATATATACACCAACACCGATCCTGGCCAGGATCACCCTGGGTCCAGGATCGGAGTATACGCCCTCCTGTCTGGCGCAGAATGCATATACACCGATTTTGGGCCTCGGATCGGCCTGACCAGGATCGGTGTAGGTGTATAGTAGGTGCCCTCCGAACGAGGTCTTTTGCCTGACGCCCCGTGGTAAACGAGCCGCAACGTCGGCAATACACGCACCCCAGCCCGTTATGAAACACACGGGCGATTCTCAGCTGGTGGGCAGGAGAAGGAGGGACAGGGGGGCCAAAAAGGCAAGGAGCGAGGGAGGGATGGGCCCACATTCAGTGAGGCCAGCCCTACGCCCATTCTTGAATGAGCGGAAACATTTGATGCATTGCCATCTCTTGTTGGCCCACCTCACATCGTGGGCCATGAGACAGCTCTTGATTGGCCTAAAAATCCCGGCCCTGCTTAAATCCCCGAATCAATCCCTGGCACGCGGCCAGGCTTGAAGCACAGTTAACATGGCTCTGGCCGTCGCAAAGAAACCTTCTCGGTCCTTGGAGACCCTGGCCACATCTACCTGAGAGGAACATCCCCCCGCAGCTTGCTTGGCAAACACGTCCGCCCAGCGTGCCCCCGCGCGGCTGTCCCAGAGGCCAGAGAGCGCCAGGATGGCCCCAAATGAGGCTCCCAAGACGGTCCAAGAGGGCCCCGAGACGGCCCAAGACACCCGTTCCAAGACCCGCGGCACGGACTCAAGATGAGACGCTCCCAAGACGCTCCAAGAGAAGCCACAAGGGGGCGGCATTGATTTTCCAGTGGCTTCTGCTCTAGTTTCGCGTTCTCGCTGTTCCAGGATCCCAACGCCCCAGAGCAGCCCAAGGGGCTCTCAAGCTTGCCCCAAGGTGGCCCAAGATGCCCCCCAAGACAGCCCCCACAGTGGGCCCCACGAGGGGGGGGAAGGGGGGGGGGACCTAAATGGCCTCGGGGGCCGTGCCCCCAAATATGGTCTACGACACCGCCAGCGGCCCCCCGAGACAGCCCCCCCTGTGCAGGCACCAGAGGGCCGCGAGGCGGCTCTCCCCCAGAGGCCCCCGAGGCCTACTCCAGGAGGCGCCCCAGGAGACGCCACCGCGCGTGCGACGAGCGACATGGCACACAGAGAACCACGAGGGTCGTATGGGACGCCGCGGGCCGAGCAAGGTTGCGGGATGGGCCGGCCGCCACTATGCGCACGCAGGCGTGCAGAGCGGCGGCGACGAGGCGACGATCCGAAGGCCACTATACTGCGAAGCGATGCGATGCGGGCGGCGACGAGGCGGCGACATGGCGGCCCGCGGGCCCAAGCGACGGGCGGCGGCGAGGCGGCGACATGGCGGCTAGAACGGCCCGCAGGCCAAGGCGACAGACGGCGACGAGGCGGCGACGGCGGCTGCATGGCGACCACGGCGGCCCGCAAGCCGAATTCCGCAAAAAGAGAAGTAAGACATCGAAAGTGCAATGTTCGAGAAATCGTGTCGCCGCCGCCGCCTCGTCGTCACCATGTCGCCGCCGTCGCCGCCTCGTCGCCGCCCGCTTCGCATTGCTGTGCATGTCGTTGCAATGCGTTGCATTGCACTGCGTAGTGCCTTGATTCGCGCTGATGTGCATTGCTTTGCGCCACATAGGTTGCACCACATTGATTGCACCCCCTCGATTGTACAGCATTGATTGGCCCGCAACGATTGCAAAGCACTCACGTCTGGGGGGCCCACGCCGGCTACCGTACATACATGCACACTGGAAGCATGTATGTGAACATGTATGTGGACAATAAGGTTTGTATGTTTGTGTCCGTGTAGAGAGGTGTAACTCAATGTAAGAATGTGTGTGCTTGTGCGTGTGAGCACGCGCGTATGTTTGCATGTTTGTGTATCTGCCTTCACCTATATGTTGTAGACTCAGGTGTATACCTCCGTGCGTATATACTGACGGTATATGTGTGTTCATGTGTACGTGCGCGTGCCGTCGGTCAGGGAATGTGCATTCTGTATGCGTGCATGTCTGTATGGATGTATATATGTATATATATATATGTATATATATATATATATATATATATGCATACCCGTGTGTGGAACGTCTTGCGCGCCGAGCCGCTGCCCCCCCGGGCCTCCGCGCGCGGGCAGTATCCTGCAGGCCGCAATTCCCGCTGGCCCCCCCGTGAGGGCTTGGCCGGGGCGAGCAGTGCGAACGTGTGCGCAGCGCCGCGGGCACACCAGGCTCGGACCCAAGATCAGACGAAACGCTAGATGAGGACAAACTCCGATGAGGATAGAGCGGGAATCTCTCAGAACTGCCGGGTCAAACTCCTCATCCTCCACTCTCGCGGGCGGGGAAGAATCACCCATTCACTCCAACCCCAACGTAGCTTTCCGAGCGCCCTGGACGTATCTACTCCGCTGGGGGTCGGCGGTATGGCGTCAGCAACTTGAATTTCTGAGAACTGGCGGGTCCAGAAAAGACGCCCCTGACAGGCACCGAAGAGGCCCCGACACGATCATCAAGAGGGCCCGAGAGACTTCAGTGGTGCCCGAATGGAACCACTTGAAGCCTACATACTCAAGAAGCAACCAAGAGGCATCCCAGAGACTCGCGGACATGATCTGTTATGGTTCACGCCTGGTCTACCTGTGTCGTCGTCGACGTCATCGTAGGCGTCATCGTCGTCGTCAGCGTCGTCGTCGTCATTCCCTGTCACCCCTATTGCATTCCTCTCTTTCCTCCTCCTCCGCGTCCTCCTCATCCTCCCGCTCCACCTGATGTTCCGAACCCAGACCCTTCGATCGATATGCCTCCAGCGGTACCACTGGGATGCCACTTCAGACTCACCTCCCTAGCACCAGGAATTCACGACCGCAGGGATCAACATGACGCTCACGATGCCACTTCGGTACAACTTGAGTTAGACCGATTGCACCAACGCAAACACCATACAGTACCCATATGCCTTCGCAAGGAATTCCACGCAACCCCGAGCAGAATCCAAGAGTCTTCGGAGCCCACAACCCAGGAACGAAGACCACTAGATCTCGGGCAGTGTGTCAAGTGCTATGGCATGAAACCACATGACGCGGCACGCCATGCCTGAACTCACGCCCAAACAGAACATGACGTCCAAGACAAACATCGACCCAGACGCCTAAATGCATCGCCAGAACCCAGACCCCCTACCTGGGACCTACAATTCGTGTTGCACCTGCACACGCCGGCTCCCGCACGTACGTCGTTTGTGGAATCGATCCAATATCAATATTGGACGCTCCTGGGCTTCACGTGGGCCACAACACAAAACCTAAACCGGCCCCAAACCAACCCGATTTTCAATGGCATCCCGATGGAATTACGGCCCGACACGGACGTGCTGTCGCTTTGGCCGTTCCACGCCCGCCTGAGCCGCATGAATCCCCGCTTGGCTCGTTTTATGCAACGTTCGGGCCGTTCTCGGTTGATCTTGGGCAGTGTTCGAGCGAATTCTGGCCTCCTGGTGTGGATAGTAAACGAAGGCCCAGAGAACCAATGTCCACTTCACTGATCCGTCGGTACTGAAGACGGGACAACGACCAAACGGCAAACCTACGATCGATCAGCCACGCGGCATGCCTGACCCTAACAAAACATTGGTTGGGAACAACAGAAAAAAACAACGCGGACAAAGACAACAGAGACACCTGCGGGTGGTCGTGTATGTTTGTTTGCATCTGTTCATGCCGTCGTGGAACCGTTTTCGCCTCGTCCAGCGGGAACTGAAGTGGGCGGGCGGTGAACGTGAAGCATCTCGAATCTCTGAGATTTGGCGGGCCCCGGAAGAAATTTCGGGCGCCGCAGCCGTGCCAGAGCGCGCCGTAACGCTCTGGGAGCGTGATGGAGCGGCTTAGCAGGCTGACCCCTCGTCTCAAGGGGCGCCGACGGACCACTTCACCGATCCTGGCCATGCCGATCCTGGGCTCAGGATCGGTGTCTACGCCACCATTAAGCACGAATGCGTATACATCGATATTGGGCCCGAGATCGTTGGCCCCTGTTCCTCCTGATCCTTCTCCGTAAGCCTCTTCATTCCTCCCCTTCCCTCTACTCGATCCTCTTCATCCTTTTCCTACGTTTGAGCGATCATCCTCCTTGCTCCTCGTCATCCCGTCCCCTCCTCGGCTTTCCTCCTACTCCTTCCTCGTCCTCCTCGACCTCCTAATCAATCCTCCTTCTCCGCCATATCCTTGACCATCATCATGCTGCTCATCATCGTGTGTTCAGCTCCTCCTTGTTCCAGTATTCCTCATGCTGTCACTGGCTGCCCACTTTCTCCTCCCGTTGGCTCCTCCATCTCCTTATTCCTCCGCCTCCTTCCTCTTCCCTCCTTCTCGTCACGGCTAAAATGGTTGGTGGCCCTTATTTCTAACAAAACACATGGGACAAAGTTCGGGTGCAGTATACTTGCGGGACCAATGCGCCACCGCACAACATTGTGTCGACGCACCAAAAAAACACCCAAGCATCCGTCGCGCCTGTTGTTCGCGCGCGACTGCCGGCGTTGGCGCGAGCAGGATGTTCCTTCGCCGCGTTTGCGGGGCGGTGCACGAGCGATTCCCAGGGTAAGTATCTGGGCGTTGAAAATGAGAGACGACGCGTCGTGGGAAATCGTAAATCATCCGAGGCCGCAGCGCGGGCGCCGCAATCAAAGCAGGTTATTGCTGAGCGCGAAGTGGGGAGCTTCAACGCGGTTGCCCCCGCAGAACGGCGCGCACCGTTGTCGCCCGAACGACGGGTTTTTGCCGGCGCTGCCATGAGGACCGCCACCGTGACTCGAGAGCGGCCCGCGACCGCCTAGATTACGACAGCTGCTCTTGAGCTCGCGCTGACCCTGGCACGAAACGGGCGGGGGGAAAGGAGGGAAGGGGAAGGCCGAGAGACAGGACGAGGGGAAACGGGCAAGGGAAGGGGAAGGCTGGGAAACAGGAGGGGGACAGGGATGAGGAGGAGAAGGAGGAGGAGGAAGAGGAGGGGTAGGAGGAACCGGGAGGGAAGTCCACGCGGCCACGCCTGCCTGCCTCGCGGCTTGCGCATCTCTTGCGGGTTGAGCCGATCGCGCGACCTCAGCCACATCGGCTGTGGACTGTGGGCTGCAAGGCCAGGGTGGTGCACACAGGAGGATGGTGTGCACTGGGGGACGGGGTGGTGCACGCTGGGGCAGTGTACGTTGGGGACGGCCTGTGGTGCACACAGGGGACGCCGACCAATTGGTGCACGCTGGTGGTGTTCACTGGGAAACCTGGTCCGTACGTGTGATACACACTCGGAACTGTGCAATACAAACCATACACAAATGCCCGGTGTGCACCCCTCTCGGCGCCCGAAGTGCACCAGTTGGCGTCTCTGCGCAAATCGGATTTGGTGGTCGAAGATCTACAGGAGATTCGGGCGCCACCCACACTGTGCACCACGACGCGGGCCCCCGCGACGTCTCCCGGGGGTGTCTGGGCAGCAAGCAGGGAAGACAGAACGAATGTTTGGAATCCTTGACGGGACCCAAGGCACAAAGAGCTGGAAACGGAAGGGGACAAGCAGGAGAAGAGGACCGAAAGGAAGGGGAGGGGCAGAGAGCGGAGACGGTACGACACGGCAAAACACTTGGCTTGCAATCTTAAAACCAAGCACGGCACAGAACGGCACGGCACGCACGGCACGCACAGCACCGCAACGATGCAATAGGCAGGGCAACCGCGCACAAGCCAGCATCCGCACATGAAAGCAGAAGACAACACACAAAAAATGAATCACATCGGGCTGCAAAAGACTAAACAAGAGTCCCTAGTGATCCTCTTGATTGCTTCGCAGCGAATTATTATCCTCCATCCCCCTTTCCCTCCTCCTCCTCCTCCTCCTCCTCCTGCCTCCTCCTCCTCATCATCCTTCCTCCTACACCTCCACCTTCCTGCGCCTGCTGCTCCTCCCTCTCCCCCCTCCCCCCTGAGGCTCCGAGAACAAGCTCACCGCGGGGCACCTCCTCCTCTTTCCAGCTCCTCCTCCTCCTCTTCCTCCTCTTCCTCCTCCTCCTCCTCCTCGGACACGGCGCCGGAAGGCTTCGCTGGACGTCCAGAGGTCGGTGGCAGGAGGCTCGAAATCCACGATCTCGGGCACCAGCCGTGCCAGCAACGCCCGCGCGGTCGTCTCGATGGGCGCCTGCACCGGGTACGGAGCGCGGCAGCACGGGAGCGGACAGCACCAGTCGTACGAGGCGACCCCGTGAAGCAGTCCAGCCGCCGCGTCTGCGGCTGCAGCGCCACGGGCTTTGTGTGCGCGGGGTGCCTCCCACGCGTCCTTCTGAGGGGCACAAACAAAGCAACGGACATAACAACTCTGAATTCCGCGCGGATTTCTCGGATCGGCGCTGGGCCGCCCTGGCGGCGCCTCCGGCGCCGATCCCAGGAATCCGCGCGGACATCCGAAGTCATCTTTTTGTATGCCAGTGTTTGTTTCCCTGCTTCTGGCGTGCCCGAAGCGGGGACGGAAAGCAGGGGGGGCGATGCCCAATAGCAGGTGCTGTCGCAAGCTAGCAACGGCCGCTGCTGGGCAGGCGACGTCTGCCAAATGGGCAACGTTCGCGGCGACGCCGACGACGAGTCCTTAGGCTGGTCATCTGACTTCGCGAGTCGCGCCCCGCAATGCGCGACGCACGGTTATCTTCGCGGTCTCGCGAGGCCACCGTAGAGGGGGGTAGCTGTGCGGCCCAGGCAGCGACGCACGAAGTGCGATTGTCTGCGATTGTCTTTGCGTCCACGGGGTGAGTGACCTTGAGCCATGGAGCTACGATGAAGAACGTTGACCTAACAACGAAGGGGATCCCCTGGCCCCGGCCAGCCCAAGCCACCGATAGGTTCCCCGACCTGGATCTGGGAACTGTCCGAAAACCATGCCCTCTCCCTGGGCCCGAGGCGATCCTCGTGTTCGGCGTCCTGACTGTAAGAAACCTGCCTGGACTCAGCGGAACGGCTGCCGGTCTTCGCCCGCACTCTGCCCGCCTCCACTTCGCCCGCACCGATCCTTCGGCGGCGCCTCGAAGAGCAGCGAGGCTGGCAGACAGATGGCCTCCAGGGCGGCCTTCAGGGGCCTGCCCCTCTTGACGGGGCCCTCCCGGAGCAGCCGGCTGCCGCGGGGCAGGTAGGACGCGCCCACCTGAGCGGCGAGGGAGAGGGGGTCCTGCGTGCAGAGGACAGGGCGGCCCTACGCGGTGACCAACGCAGGCCGCCGTCGGCTACACGCAAGAGCGTCCCTGGGCAAGAAGAGGAGGAGGAGGAGGAGGAGGAGGGAGAGGAGGAGGAGGCGAAGGAGGAGGAGGAGGAGGAGGAGACCTCTGGTGCGCAGCTGCAGGAGGCGCGGTGCGGGGCCGAGCCCGAGCGAGCAGGCCGCTGTCGTCGCGCCGCATTCCGCGAGCGGGGAACCCCAGTTGGGCGACGATCAAAAACGGGCCTTACGCGCGATGACGTAGCGACCGCACGCGGTGGCTTACGCGGGCCGGCAGCGCGGCACGCTTGATTGGAGACCTGGTGACCAGGGCGCTTGCACGCGAGCTTACGCGGGCAGGTTGTGCGCCGATGTCGGCGCAGGCGACGCCGTTTCTCTGCGTCGCTCAGTTGGCCCGCACCGAAAGTCACTCGGCCACAGGTCCCTCTTGCGCGTAGCTTACGTTTGCACGGCGCACCACGTGTAGCGGGTGCGCCTGCGCGCCGCCCAACGCGCGAATGCTCCCCTGGGCCGTCTGCCCCGCTTCCCTGGCACCGCCCGCCTGCATGTCCCGCTGCAGCGAGCAGTCCGCCTGGCCGAGCGAGCGGTAGATCCGCTGCACGTCCTCCCGCCTGTGGACGTCCGCCTTGAGCCTGCGTCCGCACGCGGACCGCGGCCGCTGCTTCTTGGCCCCCTGGGCAAAACCAACCAACGTCGAATCTGGAAATGGGACGCCGGAGCGATTCGGAAAGCGCGTCGGATCGGACTGCATCGGGACGGAGTCGAGATCGAACCGGTTCGGCTGCGCCAGGATGCGCAACAGCACCACGCGAGCATTGAGGAGCGTGGGATCGTCGGACTCTCGGAACCGAATCGCATCGATCGGTTCGACGTGGGCCCGGCCTGGGTGAGGCCCAGTGCATCGCGACCGCCCATCAGCATCCGCAGCACCAGATCGTCCTGCGCCACTGCCAACGGGCTGGGCATGCCCGGAGCCGCCCCGGGCCGCGCTGGCGCTCCAGACACCAGGCTGGTCAGTAGGGCGTCGTCCGTGGCGGCAGACGGCTGGGCTGCATGGAGCTGCGGGGACACCGCACAAGCGAGCTGTGGCTGCTGGTAGGGGAGAGGCGCCTGCTGGTGCATTGACTGCTGCAAAGGCTGCTGAAAGGGCTGCTGCAGCTGCTGTGGCTGCTTCACCAGATGTTGCGACTGCTGCTGTTGGCCGTGCCACTGCAAGCTGCTGCCATCGATCGTAGGTTCCCGTTCAGGCTCCTGCGCTGGCCTTTGCGTCGACTGCTGCTGCCACTGAGGCAAATGTTGAGGCAACTGTTGCGGCAACTGATGCTCCTGTGGCAAGTGCTGGTGAGCTGGGGTCTGCTGTTGCTGCAGCTGCTGCTGATGCTGGACCGGTAGCTGTTGTTGCGGGTGTTGCGGTGGCAAATGCTGATGGACTGGGGTCTGCTGCTGCTGCTGCTGCAGCTGCTGCTGAGGCTGGGCTGGTAGCTGTAGATGCGGGTGTTGCGGTGGCATATGCTGATGAGCTGGGGTCTGCTGCTGCAGCTGCTGCTGAGGCTGGGCTGGTGGCTGTTGATACAGGTGTTGCGGTGGCAAATGCTGATGGACTGGGGTCTGCTGCTGCTGCTGCTGCAGCTGCTGAGGGTGGACCGGAAGCTGCTGTTGAGGTATCTGCTGATGGTCCTGCTGTTGAACTTGCTGTGAGCCGTGCTGCTGCTGCTGCTGCTGTTGCTGGTTCACCCCGCTTGTGGGCAGCATGTCAGCCTGCGCTGCTGCTGTCGACGGTACTGGTGCTACTGGAGACGCTGGGGTGGCGATGTGCGGCGCCAGCGGAGGACGCAACGTGGACTGGGGATGCTGCTGCGGCTGTGCTCCTGTGCCTGCGGGTAGGGCCGCGGCCGGCTTCAGCGCGCTGAGTTGCCGCACTTGCTTCCCTGCGGTAGGTGACATGACCGTTGGGGCCGCTGAGACCGAGACCGCATCTACAACTGGTCGCGCCTCTGGCGCAGCCACAACCGGGCTCGGCCCGCTCGGCCTGGCTGCCGACACGACTGGCGCGGCTACTGACGCCGATACGGCTGGGGCGGCTACTGGACCGATCGCCTGTGCAGGCGCAGCCGTCACGGCAGCCATGCCCGCCGTCCCCCCAAGCGTGGCAGAGGGGCCAGCCGCAGCAGCGGAAAGGCTGGCCGTTGTGGCGGCGACTGCCGGCGCAGCTTCGGCCCGAGGAGGCTGCTGGCTTGGCTGCCCCTGCTGCAGGGCACCCGCTGCTGGGACGGCTGGCGTCAAAGGCGTCGCGGGCGTGGGCGCGGGCGCCTCCCCAGGCTCCTCCGCCTCACGAGCCATCGTTGACGCCGGCGGCGCAACCGGCGAGGTAGCCGAGCTGGTTGCCTGGGCGCCGGCGACTGGAGCGAGAGACCTCGGTGCGGCCGAGCCGCCAACGCCCAACGGCGCCACACTCTTCATGGCAATTGACGACGTCGGCCCCCCGGCCACGCCAGGCCGCGAGAAGCTGGCCCCTGTGGCCGGCATCTCTGCCGGTTCCTCGAAATCGTCGTCGTAATCGCTATCGCCCGCGGGGCGATTGGTTGCCGCGGGGGCGCGGGCCGGGGCCACGGCGGCGGCCTTTGCGGCCCCTGCGACAGGAGCCAGGCTCGCGCGCGCCTGTCGGCCGAACGCAAGACTGAGTGCTCTTTGGTATGCGGCTTTAGGGGGCCGCGGGAATGCAGATCTAAGCGTGCAAGCCAGGGTTGCCAGGGAACCCTGTCGGTCCGCACTGCCAAAGGTCACTTCTGCGAAAGATCAATTTTGCGCGCAGCCGAGCCTTGGCTGGGGTCGCCATGCCAGCGACGGGTGCCACGCCCGCCGCTGCGCGCGCCGCACCAGCTGTCGCAATTCCAGCCGCGGGCGCGACGCCGCCCGCCACAGGCGCGACGCCGCCCGCCGCGGGCGCAACTCCTGCCGCCGCGGGTGCGAACCCAGCCTTGGGAACGATGCTACCCGCCGCGGGGGCAACGCCGCCCGCCACGGGCGCGATGCTTGCAACTGCTGGCGCCCTCGCCGCCGCGCCCGCCGCCGGTGCCAAGCTCCGGGGGGCGGCGGCTGGAGTCGGTGCCAGCGCAGCCGCGCCGGCATCGGCCGCGGAGGCGGTGCCTGCGGCTTCCGACAAGGCGCCCGTGAACATCGAGAAAGCACTGGCAAACGTGTTCGGGGCGGCGGCGCCGCCGGTCACCGCAGAGTCGGACACCTCCATGGTACTCGAGGCCGGCGACACGTCCCCGCCCCTCTGCGCGGCGGGCGCCCCGGGCGGCGCGATGCCCTGTCTGGGCGCGGCGCCGCCTGCGGCGGGCGCCACCCCCACCCGAGTAACCCTCGCAAGGCGCTGATATCTATCCATATCCACCGCCCCTGGCCAGGCCAATCTTCGGCCCAGGAGCGGTGCACATGCCCTCCTACGTGGCCAGGAAAGCATGTACACCGCTTCTGGGCCCATGGGCCTGAGCACGGTGGATCTGTGCAGATCGCGTCGCCCGACCTCGCGCCCGCAGAGCCGCTGGCGCCCAGCGGCGAGTCGAGACCTCCAGGCTCCGAGGCTGGGGGCCTCAGCGAGGGTCTGCAACAGGGGTGGAGAGCCAAGGAGATGGGCATTGCGAACTCCCTGGGCCCCGATTGCAAATGTGTTTGGCGAGGCTCACGGTCGAATGCGTGTAACGCATACCCTTGGCATCATATGTTTGAATACATCTAGTTGGAGGTTATCTATACACAAGCATCACCAAATGTTGTATGTACAAGAGATGTAGCTGTATCCTCGAATGGCCCTACAAGCGGTGCGATGGTGGTAAGGGGGGGGGCGTTGATGCCTTTTACGGGTGGCGGAAACGGCGACCCTGTTTTGCGCAGGGGCTCGAGCCGCCCCCAGGAACTTGATGCCCCAGGGCGGTGGGTGGCTTGTTCGCAACCGACGGAGCGCCTGAGCGCGTCCGGCCCCGTGCCTGGATGCCTGCGGGCAGAAGCAGCGACTCTCACACGGGCTCCGGCGGCGACGAGCTAAAAACTGTAGGAGTTGGACCTCGGACAACAGAACATACTTCAGGAGAAAGAGACCCTCCGCCGGCCCAAACTGAAGAACGCTGGAGAGTGCCCTCCCCAAGAATGCACAAGAGCATCCAACAAACAAGAAACACCTGAGGGTACCCTCCCCGAGCCGACCTCGATCTTAGACCTCGGTCCGACTGTGGCTGAGCGCGCACGGGGACCGCCGTCGAGGAGGGGTTGCCCTGAGATGCGCGTCGCACGACTGAGTGGGGGCAGCCACCGAGGCAGGCCCGCGAGCCTGGCGGAACCAACACGTTTTTTCGTGTCGCAGCGCTGGCGGTCGCCCAACACGGTCGAAGGGAGGACCAACACACACTCACGCGCACGTTTTGGCGTCACGGCCACGCGCGTAGCGACGCGGTGGAGACAAGCGGATGAGAGAACCGAATGGACAGTTCGGCAGACACGGCTGGGCACTCAAGCAGCACAGAGAGGACGTACACTGAGCAGACCCAGTCTGGGCTGGAAATGTTCGAGGAACGCTTCGTGCAATCCACAAAAGGTTATTAAAACTTTCGTTGGTGGACCTACAGGGAAGCCAAGACGCTTCGCCACTGCATGAGTACAAGGTTCACAGATCGGAAACCTCGCTGCACGGGAGTCTCACGGGGAGGAAGCCGTGACAGTCAAAAAATAGACCCCTGACTACTTTTTGACTATTTTTGTATATTCCCCCTGTAGAGGCACGAGCCCAACTTAATCCTCCTCCCCCGCGGCCTGCTGCGCGCCTTCCGGGTGCGCCCGTCGTCCGGCGGCCTGGACGACTCCCGCGCCTTGGCAGGATCTGTCAGCATCGAAACCGGACACCGGGCCGAATCGGAACTTGCATCGGATCGGGCTGCGTCGACACAGGGTCGGAATCGAACCCGATCGGCCGCGTCAGGATGCACAACAACGCCTTGCACGCATTGGGCCGCACCGGGTCTGCGGAATACCGAACTTGAATCGGTTCAGGCCGGTCGGTACCGATTTTGAGGTGATTCGAAGAAGGCTTTGATCGTGTCCCCGATGGTTTTCGGGCCAGAACTTTGCCCCCCCCCCCCCCCCGAGCACTCTCGGCCAGGCACAGCTTCTGGTAAGCATCCCGAGGCTGGAAAGCCGCTGAGAACCAGATGAGACGCCCGAAAACCTCGAACCTCAAATCGGATCGGGGCGGCGCGTGGCTCAAGAGGGGGCGCCGCGAGGGGGATGGGTTTTTAAGAAGGCGGCGGGACTAAGAAGGCAATAGGGTTCCATAAACACCTGCGCAGCTTCCGCAACACTTCACTCCGCCGCCTCCTTCGGAGGCCCACATTCGTGCGCGCCGCTAGCGGACCTCGAATCGGATCGGGCTGGCGGCGGTCGATATTGACCCAGACATCTGGCGCTGCACCTTTCTCGATGCGTAGGCCCCCAGAAGGCCCGACCCTTCCCCTGGGGCCGGCTTACCTCCACGGGGCGTTATTTCACGGTCCTGGGTGCACACACGTCGCAAATCCAAACAAAGACTACCGCTCCAAATTGTTCCAACCGTCCTGTGGCGTTTGGTACTGATTTTCGATGCGCATTGCGCCCGCATTCCTCCTCCGTCTCCTCCTTTTCCTCCTCCTCCTCCTCCTCCCTCTGCTCGTCGTCCTCCTCCTCCTCCTCCTCCTTTCTCCTCCTCCTCCTCCTCCTCCTCCTCCTCCTCCTCCTCCTCCTCTCTTCCTCATCCGCCTCCTCCTCTTCCTCCTCGTCCTCCGTATGCTCGTCGTCCTCCTCCTCCTCCGCTGTTTCCGCTGTTTGCCGCGCCATGAAGGTCTGTGCCTTGCAGCGCCCCTCGGCGGCCGAAGCCGCCGCCAGAGGAGGGGGGAGGAAGGCCCGTCCCGCCCAGGCGCGCGGGGCGGCGGAGGAGCGGGGGCCAGGCCTAGCCGCGCGCGCGGCCGACTCGCGGGCGCCCTCGGCGCCGGGGGGGGGGGGCCTCGCCCAAGAGGAGAGGAAAGGGCCTCCAGGATCTCTAGAGGGCCTTAGAGGAAGAGCGGGAGGGCGAGGCCCCAGAGACGCGAAAGGCCAGGCACCAGTGGACCCCGCGAGGAGGGAGGGAGAAAGCCTACGCGGGCCCCAAGAAGAGGGAGCGGGGTCCAATGGCCTGCAACTCGCCCCCAGGCCCGATGCGCTGCCGCCCAGGATAGCAGCCTGGCAGCTGCATCACCTGTCCTGGGCGGCAGTGCCCAGGCCATGGAGCACGAGGGCCAGGGCTCGCCTGGCGTGCCACCCCCTTTACCCCCACAAGCACAGGGCCTGAGCCAGGAGACCATAAGTGGAAAATGAGGCGGCTGGGGGTAAGGGGGGTGGCACCAAATTATGTCCCTCGGGACCCCGACGACTCGGCCCCCTCACTGGGCCACGTCGGTGGTCGCTGGTGTTGTAGTAGAGCATGATTCTGTCGCCCTCGAGCTTGTGGTACTCTACTCAGTCCTGCTGGTCGAAATCGGTATGATGAGCCTTCTCCATTTGCTCCATTCACTCCATTCAACTCGGCATCGCTGATCCAGTGGTCGTCTGTCTCGATGATGGTAGGCTCTTTGTACTTGGCTCGGTCGCCCTGGTCGAGTGGAACTGTTTGACTGTGTTGGGCTCGGGCTCCTGGTACTCGTCTCAGCCGATGAGGTAATTGTCGTGCTGGTTAGGGTCGATGGGGGCCGGCTTGTTGCTGGTAGGTGGAATAGATTGTGGGCGCACTCAGGCCTCCATGCACCGACTTCAAGTAGGGTTCATGGCGGCCCTACCTCGTCCCGCTATGGCTAGGGGTCACGGTGCCCTCGGTGGGGGCGAACCCCAGGCCCAGTGATTCTTCTGCTGTCGATGAGGAAGGTCAACGCTGCCCTATGCTTCGCCCTTGGGCGCTCGGGAGCTCCGTCTCCGCCATGGGAATGGCGGGGGTGGCGAGCTAGGGCGGACCGCGGGGGCGCGGGCAGTACTCGTCCTGCCCCCCCCCCTGCCCCTCACCATCCCCCCTGGTAGGCGCGGGCGGTCCTCGTCCTGCCCCCCCGCCCTTCGAGCCCGTCTCGAAGTTGGATCCTTGCCTCACCAGGGCAGCGTTGACTCGTACTTGGTGCAGTTGGGGTAATCTGGCTGGTACCTCTGAGCCCTGGCTGAACGGCGGCCGTGTCCTTCACTGTGCAAAACGTGGCGACGTGTGCCTGGGGTGTTCCCTCGCATTCGGGGCTTCCCCAGGACTTGCGTCCTGACGACTTGTGCAAAACTTGGCGACGTAGCCTGAGGTATCCCCACGCACTCGGGGCTTCCTCAGGACTTGCGTTCTGATCCTTTTGTACTTGTCGTCAGGGCGCTTCGTTGCGATCCGCGTTGTCAGCCTGTGCCCGAACAGCTCCTGTCGAGGTGGTGGTCCTGCCGATTGCCTTGTCGGGTCGGTCCTGCAGGGCCCACTCCCTTGCCTCTCCCAACCAGGTCGGTGAGCCACCCCGCCTCGCTGGGCCACGATGGTAGTCCTGACCCATCTCCCTGGTCTTGTAGCGGTCGAGCGGCTGGAAGAATTGGGCCACGTCGTCGTCGATGTGCCACCCCTGGACGTCGCTAGGCGACTCGCCAAAGCGCCACCTTATCTGCTTCGCCAGTGCGGTCGCGATGGCCTGGCACATCCTGTTCGGGTACTCCTTGGCCGCCGCGGTGCGCCACTGGCCGTCGTCGTTGATGCCTGCCAGCTCCGCGTGGTAGGAGGCCGTGTGAAAGCACCTCCCGCTTCCAGGCAGTCTACTGATTTCTGCTCGGAGGGTTGGTAGGGATACCGCCATCAGGCTTGTGGACTTCCTCGAACGCGCTCCACAGGTGCACTGGTCGAATGTGATCAGCTCGACTCCCTGCTGGTTCAGGAGGTGGCGCGTCTCGGGGAGCTTCCAGGAGCTGGCGAAGTGCTCCTCGGTGGGCTCGCACGGGTGCTCGAGCATGCCTGGGACCCCCAGGTTGAGGCACATGTACATGAGCTCCAGCTGTGTCCTGTATAGGCGGTTGCCTGTCGCTACTTGCTCCATCTCTGGACGGGAAAGGTAGCGAAGGCCCCACAAGCTGTTGCTGCTCCCTAGGGGTCTTGGTGGACGACCCCTGCAGTCATTGGGGGGCAAGTGGCGCGCTCGGCTTCAGGTCTCGCACGGCGGTCCGCCGATGACTCCTGCAATTCTCCGTGCTTGTGCCATGTCTCGCCACTTGCTGACTGCAACTTCTGATGTCAGGTCGCCGAAGGTCGGGTCGTTGGCGATGTCCAGGCTGAGCATGTGTATGTCGCAGGAAGCCCGACTGCTGAGGCGGTCGAACCTATCCTGAACATCCCCCTCTCGGCGACGGCCGCTGAATAGATGCAGCGCGTATAGCGTCCGAGCTGGCCTGGGCCTGGGTACAGCAGCTGGCGGCGGTGGTGGCTCCTCGATGAAGGGGAGCTCTAGGCTCTCGTAGTGGCCGCCGTTGCTGTCGTCGCTGTCCTCGTCCGTATGTATTTCTGGAGGACGAGCAGGGACTGCAGGCTTCTCTGCCCAGTCGATGAGCCTGCCCGCCCTTCGGTTCGCCTGCTGCTGGTCGCGCACAATTTGCTGGTTGTGCTGCAGCTCGGCTCTGCTAAGGATTGCTGGACGTGTCTTTCGCCAATGTCGAGCGCACCTGCGCACTCTCAGCAAGTGTTTGACCAGCCTGTTTGTAGTATGGTAATCCATGCCGCATCCGTAGCAGACCGAACCAGTTGCCCACGAGATAGGATGACCCGACGAGGTGTGGTCCTTGGTGATGTGTGCTCGTAGCACTGCTGCACTGGCTTCGGTACGTCCGCAGTGGTAGCATAGGTACTTGCGCTGCTGCTCGAAGTGCTGGTCTGGGAAGGGCGAGATGGCTTCCGTGTTGGTCCACCGTTGGAGTCGAAGCCGCCATCGAGCTTGGTAGTCGTGATCGTACTGGCGAGCTTTGCCACGTTGGCAAGCTTTCTTTACTGCGCTGAGGTAGCTTTGGTAGTCGTTCCTGGCCCAGTCCTTCCAGTCCTCGAGCGTGTATGCTCCACCACGCTCGTCAGGTCCTGTGTGGTCGCGGACCCAGTCTAGGTCGCGGCGGAGCAGTGCCACCCAGCCGTAACTACCATCCCATGCTTGGCTAAGTAGTCGGCGGAGGTGCAGGGGTCCCCAGTTGAGGCATCTACCAAATAGTCGTAGCCGCTCAAGTCGTAGGACTATCTCTGGGGGCAGCTTGTCGACCCCTTCGAGAATCTGGGTGTTCGTGACCTCCTTTTTCTGTCGTACTTTCCAAGTGATCCTTTGCGCGGCAGCGTAGTTGACGATATACTGGTTGTTGAAATTCCTGGCCTGGCCTGCTGTGAGTTCGGGCCAGGTAGACGCATCGTATAGTAGCTGGGATAGCACCACACTGTCGGCTAAGTAGGCCTTGTCTTTGATGGCCAGCTCTGATCGCCGGTGGACTTCGCGATGGAGAGGCCTCGTGGATGTCGCTGCAGTGGCTACCTTCACTGCGACATCCACCCCAGGGGATGCATTGTCGGTCACGTAGGTCCCGAGGAGCTTGTGGTGACGAACCACCTCGACGTAACTCTCTGCCAGGGGGACCTCGATCCTCGGCACTCCATTGGAATAGAAACTGGCCCGAGCTTGCCGGCTCCCAGGCCCACTGAAGTCGATCATCACCTTGGTCTTGGTGAGCTGCAGCTGGAGGCCGAAAGTGCTGGCGGCGCAGTAGACGGCTTCGCAGAACCCCGTGGCCTCATGCTGAATGTGGTCGGGGCTGGTGAACACGTGCATGCCCGTTAGGTCGTCGACGAACGATAGGCCATGAGGTTCATGCTCCTGGAGTGGCCCATCTGTGGGGTCGGTGTCGCATGCGAAACTGCTGTCAAGAGGCTTGCCCTGGGGTCGTAGCCCTCGCTGCGCAAGGTAGCTGTCAATCATGCGGTGGACTCGGCCGAATAGCAGATTGAAGTCCGCGTCGGCCAGGGGCACGCCAGGCCTCGTGCCCTTGTGCGGCGCCATGAGGTTCTGGGAGAACCTGTGTGACGTCCACCTGTTGCGGCAACCTTCTGCAATGAGGGCAGCCAGGTGGGAGCCGTCCAACACTGTGTCGAGTATCCCTGGGTTGGCCATGAGGTGCTCCAGTTGCGGCTGGGCCCACAGGGGAACCTCGAGGTTCTCTAGCACCTCCTTGACTTCGTCCTCCTCGCCTGGGATGCCATGAACCAGCTGGACTACAACCGAGTAGAAGGCCTCCTTCAAGTCCATGGTCCTTAGGTATTTGTGGTGGTGCTTGCCCAGGACGTTGTTTAAGAGGATCTCGCGGTAGGCTTGGAGGTACCGTGGGTCGCCTTTTCCTTTGGGAATTGCGACCAGGTCTCCACCCTTGAAGCTCAGCGGCTCCCGCACGGTGGTCGCCACCTTGGTGAAGAGGGGGCGCAGTAGCCTCGCTGCCTCTGTGGGGGCCGCCCTGAGGACAGCGTTCGTGAGCCCGTCGGGGCCCCCTTGCGTCCCAGCCTTGGCCGCGGCGAACTGGGCCTGGCAGACGGCCAGGGGCATCACCATGGAGAGATCCAGCATGCCGTCGAAGGGCCTGATCTTGCTGTCGTGATTGTACTTGTTGGCAAGATCATCCGCTGTCACGATCTTGCCCGCCTGTATCTTCGCGAAATGGTTAAGCTCCTGGTCCGACATGTCCTGGGAGTTGTGGATCACCTCTCCATCCTTGTCGAGCCGCATAGGCTTTCCTGCTGGGAACTTCGCCTTCCTCCCGCCATGCCTTAGTAGGTCGCGGTAAGCCTTCCACTGGGCCGCAGCGTCGTTCGCAGCGGAGGCGGAGGACGCGGTTGAGGCAAGCCGACTGAGGAATGCGCTACGGTCCTTCTCGACGGCCGAGGCAACTAGGGGCCCAGACCTGGTGAGGAAGGAAAGGATGGCCATGGCGTAGACCATGGGCGAGATCGTCCAGTTCAGGAGGAGGTGCGCGTAGTGGTGGATGTCGTGGATGGTGCCATCGTCGTCGCCACGCTCTCTGCTCCACAGGGAGAGTGAGTCCCCTACTTCGCCTGCACGAAGAGAATGGGCGTGGGCTACTAGTCGTCCAGGTCGGTCGTCATGGGCTTCTCCTCTGAGCACTGCGCGATGGACTCGGAGTGCGAGGCGCCTGGCTCGGATTAGGCCCATGGTAGTCTTGGTGACATAGGGCTTCCTCGCTGCCTTGACGGCCTTGCCGAAGGCCTGGATGGCCGCGTCGTTGACGACCCTGGTGACCTCCTCGCAGTGAGTGTTGACGTCCACTTCCCAGGGGATGATCGGGGCCTGCTTGAGAATCTCCTTGAAGCTGGCCTTGGCGACGTCGTTGTTCAAGTTGGCCAGGTCGGGCCTCGGTCCTGAGGCCTTGGTGGTCTTGCAGACGGCCCACTTGAGGGTGGCTAGTACTGGTATGTGGTCTTGTGCAGCTGTGCCTCGGTCCAGACCTGGCTCCGTGCTGCAGCTCGCAACGTACGGGGCGATCGAGGAGCTCAGCAGGATGTAGTCTATCCTGCGGTGCTGCCCCTTCGATCCGACATGCGTATATGAGTTGTTGCCTGGATCCCTCGTGGTGTTGATGACCTCCATGTTGGTGTCGGCAGCGAAGCTGATGATGTGCTTGCCATTGCCGTTGGTCGCTTCTGGGAACCCACTGGTGCCAGCTCCTGGGGACTCGTAGTCGCCAAGACGCCCGTTCAGGTCCCCCATGAAGATGTCCACTCGGTACTTGGCAGACAATCGCTGAGCAGACTCCCAGAATTCTCTCTTCTCCGCCGCGTGGGAGTCTTCGTGGGGTGCGTATGCTGATGCGATAACCATGTCTGTGCCTGCAACGCGGGTCTTGATGATCAAGAGCCTGTCGTGCTGGTGGAGGACGAGGGTGTCTTTGGCACTTAGGTACTTCGCTGCCCCACTCGCGCTGATTGGTTGGGAGACGTTGAGCCAGATGTCGCATCCTCTGTTCTGCTGCGTGTGGCCTGAGGAGTAGCAAACATATTCTCCTACGTTGCGGACGTCTCCTTCGCTCTGCGTCTCCTGTAGGGCCACGACGTGCAGGCCCATGTCAGCAAACTGTGCTGCTAGGTGCGTGACCTTGGAGAGGCTCTGCTTGCTTTTGCCGGCCGCCTTGCCTTTGCCCGACTTGAAGCTGACGGCGGCCTTGAGTGATCTGCAGTTGTAGGTGCACAAATTCACGTTGAGGTCGGCCTTGATGGTGGTGGTGCTGATGGGCCTCTGGATCGCTCCTGGGGCTGCCTGCGGCTGGGTGGCCTCGATGATGAAGTCTTTGTTCCGCAAGGGCGGGTATGCGGCCTTGACCGCATCTGGCTCTGATCGCAGCCATTCCCAGGAAAGGAACTTGTTGTGAGCGATCGCCTGCACTGCTGCAATGTTCGGGTCCATCAGGTCGCTGGCCGAAGCTTGATCTGCTATCCCATCTGCGAGCTCGTTCCAAGGGTGCCCGATGTGCGAGTTAATGTGGTGCCACTGGGTAGGTCGGGCTTGTTGGAGGAGGCATGCAAGCGTGCGAATGGCGGCCCCCAACCTCGGATGTACGTGGCATTGGGCTTCGCCTTTGGCCAGGTTGATAACGTTGAGGGCATCGGGCGTGATCTCGATGGGCGCGTCGGTGTCTTGACCAAGGGCCCACATTAGTGCCCAAAGTACTGCCGTGAGCTCAGCTGTGTATGCCGTCACCTTCTCGTTGTTTGCCATGTCGTCTAGGGTCTCGGTGACCTTGCCAGCAATGAAACCCCGAAAACCAAACGGGCCTCGTGAGTTGCGCCCGTCGTCGTACTCGTCGACAGTGACTACTGCCCAAGCGGCTGTGTGTGGGATGCCGTTGTAGCTGCCGTCCGTGTAGATGTGTGTCCGCCTGGTCGGCAGCTCGCATGATGGGCACATCTCCAGCGCCATCCTTGCCATGTTGTGCAGGGTCGTAGTGTCGACGTCGTCGCAGACGTTGACGCGGCCTCGGCCGCGAAGGGTCTCGGCTACTGGGTCTTGGCTGAGAACTGGCAGCACTGCCGCTTGGCCTCTTTCTGGTGCTGCCGTGGTGGGGAGCTGCCGTCGCCTTCGGCCACGCCTGGCCCTCTCAGCATTGACGTACTCGGGGGAGTACTCGATGTCGTCGTCTGGCGCCAGTTCCATGCCCTGTAGAATGGGACCTTGTGTAGTGGTAATGTGGGCTGGAGGTGGCTGTGATGTCGGAGAGCGCGTGGGCGGGGCTAGTGATATGGCCCCAGCCTGAGGCGCAATCCGCTTCACGGGTGGTAGTGATGGCATTTGGCTCCCCTCATCGTAGTCCAAGTTGTCCGATCCAGCCCGCGCGGCCTGACTGAACAGGGGCTCACGTGATTGGGCGTGGAGCATGCTGTCACGTAGACGATAAGGTTCGCCATCCAGGGCGTCTGGGTGGTTGGTAGCACCCGTGCCGTGGTGGGAGCGCGCTGATGCCGAGGGGAGCGTTGGCTTCCACCTGCTTGACCGTGGTGAGCTGCTTGGGTCCGTCGGGACTGGGGCCACTGGTGATGCTGGTTGAGCTGCTAAGTCCGTCGGGTCTGGATCCACCACCAGGGCATGGTACTTGTTGTGGGTGCTGCTGTTGTCCCGACGACTGTGGCTCTCCGCAGCGCGCCGTGCGCGGCGTGCACGCCGCTGGGCTGATCGGAAGGCTGCGACTGCGCGCGCTTGCTTCCACTCCTCGTAGCATTGCTCCATGCCATCCTCTGCCTCGCTGCCAGTCGAGTTTTGACCGTCGAGAAAGGTCCTTTCCACGTTCTCGATCTCGTGGACTCGGATGGCGGAGGGGGACACACTGAGTGCAAGGGCAGCCGGTAACGCATCCTTGCGGCCATCTTGGTGGCTTGTGACCTGAAGTGCTGACAGATTGGCGGATGCATCACTCATCCCTGGTAGTGTGCCTCCTTGGTTGCCGCCTAGCGCCCCTCGAGACGCGGCGGGCGGCCCTCGTGTCGGCCGTGGTGGTGTCACGTTGGCCCCTCGAGACCCAGGTGACTGATACCGCTGTTGATGCTCGCTGCTGCGATTGGGAGTGGCCCTCCCACTGCCAATGCCAGTTGCGGTAGCACATCTGCTTGGAGTCGTGGCCCCTCGGGACCCTGGACTCCTGGGAGTACCTGATCTGGTGCGTGAGACTGTCGGAGTCTCTGCTGGTCTATTTGTTACTAGACGGCTGTCGCAATTAACCCCAGGGCCCGCCGTGCTTTCAGGCCTCTGGTGGTGGGTAGGTCGAGCATCGTAGTGGAGGACCCCACTGCCGTGCTGCGGGCTTTGGGCCCCAGCTGCTCTCCCCGATGCTGCCCAGGAGATCGATGCTGTCGAACTGATCGGAGAGCGTGAAGAAATCCCACATCCGTCGTGCTCTGCCCTGTTGGACTCCTCGGCCGCCTCCTGGCAGTGAATTCTGTCATGCATGGCCTGAAGCCTGGCGGCGCTGCTAGGCCCCCTCCCCCCCCCCCTCGGGGGGAATCAGCGGGCGCTGCTGCTGCCTGCTCCTCGGCTCCAGGAGTTGCAGGAGGGGAGGGGGTTGCTGTGCCCCTTGTCTCGTCCCTCCTGCGGGCCACTCGGCCACGAAAACGTGCTATGCCTGACTCTCCAGAGTCTACCCGCTGACCCTTGTGGGCCTGGCTGGTGTCTTCTCCTGGAAATGCGGGCGCGGGTCCAAACGCCTCTTCGAGGGCTGCAGCTGCGGCGGCGGCTGAGGTGTGCTGGCGCGTCAGGATGTCGATGCCCTCGCACTGCCTCTCGATGCTGGCCGCTGCCGCCTCCGCGTTCTGCTGGGATGCAGGGGGAGGGGTCAATACGAAGCTGTCGGCTCCCTCTCCACCTCCATGGCCGCGCTGCTCATCATGCCCGAATGGAACTGCGGGCGTGAGTGACCTCTCGCTGAGTGGCGCTGGCGATGCTGGGATGAAGATCACCTGAGATGCTGTCGGGGTAGGAGGGTCGCCTTGCTCTGCTGGTACCGAGCTAGCCCTTGACGTGGATGCCAGGTCTGTGTCTGCCTCGTGCTGCGTGGTTCCCCTCATCTCCTCACCCTCCTCGGGTGCGGGGTGATCCTGGCTCCAGGACGGCCAGCTGGCGGGGTAGATCATCGGCGCATGCTCCGAGCCGTCGTCCTCCGCTCGGGAGTCCTGCGTGCCCGCTGTGCCGAACTGGGTCAAGGGGGCCTCCTCGTAGTAGCGCCTTTGGATCTCCTTCGCCTCGTGGTCCCTCACTACGGACTCCAGCTCCTCCTCCATCTGTACGGCTTCCCATTGTGCTTTCTCCTCAGCATCTTGTCTGCGCAACTCATCTTGTTCGCGCTCGTATCTTTCTGCCTCCTCGTGCGGGTCTGGCCTGTCGGGGCTCCTGGACCTGTCACGCTCTATGAGGGGTACATCGCCTTCGTCGGTCTGGCGGGCTGCTGACCTGGCTGACCTGGTTGATGCTGGCCCCCGAGGTGAGGAGCTGCTCTGCCTACGGCCCCTGATGGCTGGGCGCTCCTCGGCTGCGCCAGTTTGGAGATTGGTCGCAACGGGGGACTCCGCTGGGGCGGTCGCTGCCTCGGCTGCTCCTCTGGCTTTCTCGTACAGGTCAGCGGCCTCCTGGTAGTCGTCCATGGACTCTTGGGACGCTGGGAGGTGGCCCCCTTGGACGAGGTGATGAGCTGCCCTCTTGGTGAAGTCGTAGCCCTCCTGCCCGTATTGCCTCATCTCGGCGCACAGGCTGACCATGGCCTTTCGTTCACGTTCCCTGCTGGCTGCAATGGCTTCCAGGCTCTGCATTCTCAGCTTTAGCTCCTCTGTCTCCGACGCGCCCTGCTGCTCCTTCTTTGCGATGGCGTCGAGCTCGGTGTGTAGCGTGCTGGAGCGCTGGAGGCTTTCTTGCAGCGCGAGGTGAATGGCCTCCTCCCTGCCCGTCCTCTGCTGGCTGGCAAAGTCTCCCATGGCGGAGGCCTCCTCCATGCTGGCGATCCTGAAGGTGAGGGCTTGGGCGAGCTCCTCCTCCAGCGCCTGCTCCTGCACCTCTGCGTTGGACCTTTGCTCGCTCAGCTGCACCGCGTAGCTGCTCAGTTCCTGTCGCAGGCTCTCTGTGTGCAGCTGCAAGTCATGTGCGTTCGCTTCTTCTATCATGACTTGGCGGGTGAGACTCGACCTTATTCGCTCAGCACTGCCTTCGAGCTCTGCCCGCATTGCCTCCTTGTCCTTCAGGCTGGCCTTCGCAATCTCTTCCTCCTCTGCTCTAGTCCTTAGCAGGGCGAACTGCAATGCCTGCACCTCGTGCGGGATCTGCCGCTCCTCGTTGGCGCTTCTCAGCTCCGCTGCTTCGTGGTATGCCACCTGTGCTGCGCGCTGCGCAGCGCCCGCCTCAAGCTTGGAGTGCTGCTGGAGCTCGTGTATGCGGGCTTCAGCTGCCTCGAGCTCGCTTTTGGTCTGCTTGAGCCGATCCTTCTGCCGTGCTGCTGTCTGGGCGATCCCTTGCAGCCTGGCCGCTTCTGCCGGCGGGAGGGCCCCTTTTCCCTTGGCATTGGCAACCACTTGGGCCTGGGCGATTGCCTGGACCCTGGCTGATTCGGCGGCAGCTTCAAGCTCGAGGGCGTGGTTCTTTTTGGCTTCCTGGAACTTCTCTTCCATGACCAGCTCCTGCCTGGTGAGCTGCTGCTTGAGAGTGCCCGCTGTAGCTGTCGCTTGGGCGCTCTCGTGCTGGGCCCGTCGCAATGCCTCTTGCGCCTCGGCTCTTGCCCGCAGCAGGTCTTGGTCGACCCTGTCCTGGGGCTGCGGCTGCGCTCGGTGCTCCGCTCGAACGTGCTCAAGCTGCTCATGCAGGTGATTTGCCCGCTGGGTCGCCGCTTCGGCCTCTGCCTTGGCTTGACTGAAGGCTGCGTCATGGCTGATTATCCTGGCCTCCATCTGCGTCGCGAACTCGAGCTGCTCGGCTTGTTGCTTCTTGATCTCATGGCGGAGAGCCTTGTGTTGCTGCTGCTGCTGCTGGGCTGCGCTCTCCGCCGCGGTGATGCGCTGCAGCTGCTCTGACTCCTCCTTGAGTGCCAGCCTGAGTTTCGCCTGCTCGCCGTTGTGGCGGAGTGCCTGTTCTCGGGCGACCCTCCTGACTTCCGCCAGCTCGGCAGCAAACTCTTGCTCGGCTTCGGCATGGCGCTGCTGCTGGTGGGCCCGCTCCGCATTCGCCTTGGCCACCTGATCGGCGAAGCCTCTGGTTGCGCTGCCTGCCGAGCTGGCTCTTGAGCGTGGCGATCGCCCCACCACTCCCGCTGGCCAGGCTGGAAATCCGTCACCAGGTGCTTCGCTGTGCAGGCGCCTGTCGATCACTGCCTTGTGGAAGGCATCCCAGCTCGGTGCCAAGCCAAACCCGTCCGCGCCCCAGTCGCCCTCGTCGTCCGCCGCGCCGCCGTCGGCAAGCACGGCCCTCACGTCGGCGATGTTGGACTCGAGCTGCCTCAACTCCTGCTGCTTGGCCTTGAGGTCGTCCCGCAGCTCGTTCGTCTTGGCCTCGAGGGCGATGACTTCAAGTTTGACGGCCTTGCGCCTCTTGCTGAGCACCTGCAGCTGGTCGTTCGGCCTCCTCGTGACCAGCTTCTGGTATTTGATGACCGAGATTTCCATCAACTGCTCCTTCGCGCTGTCGCCCGCGGCCTGCTTGGCGACGACCAGGTCGCCGAGCTTCCTCAGCCTCTGGTCCGCACTGCTCAGAAACTTCTGGATGCCTGCGCGGTCGGCTGGGGGCGCCTGCCACTTTGGGTGGGAGGTTGCCTCGTCCAGCGTGCAGGCTGCCACAGAGTCAATGACTTTTTGAGCCCTCTGGTCCGCTTCGCTGGAGCTGGCCTGGCCGCCTTTGCCCGCCCTGGGCTGCTGCTGCAGCTGCAGCTGCTGCTGCTGCTGCTGCTGCTGCTGCTGCCATGGGGGCTGGCTGGGCTGCTGCTGCTGCTGCTGCTGCGGTTGCCATTGGCGAAGGCTGGCCTGGCCAGAGCGCCGCGGCCGTGATAGCGTTCTGCGCCAGGGCGGGTCCTCGCCTGCTGGCTCCGCGTTCCACTGCTGTTCTTGCCATCCAGCGCCCTGCCACCTCTCCTGGCGCCAGGGGGGCGCTGCTGGCGGCGATGTCCCTTCCTGGGCGTGGCCCTTGCCGCCTCGGCCACCGCTGCCTCTGCCCTTCCCGTCTCGTGCCATCGCTGGCTGGGCAGAGTGATGGGCGGCCAGGCGCTCAGCCGCCGCCCGCAGGCGGAGCAGGAGCCTGTCCTGGGCTCTCTGCTGCAGCTCACGGCGGTGAGCGGCGCCCTCTGGACCTCCTCCTCGGCGATGTGGCGGCGTCCCGCCGGTGGGCCGCAGCGCGGCCGCGAGCGCCGCGGTCTGCGGCAGGGGGCAGGGAGGCACGGGTGGCCCCCTGCCGCAGAAGATGGCGCGCGGCGCGCGTGAGCCCGGCCTCGGGGGCTGGCCGATGCGCGATGCGCCCTGCCACCGCGATCGATCGGGCGGCAGGCGCCGACCGACCCCACAGATGTGGGGTCCTCTTGGGGCGAAGACCGCGTCGCAAATTCAAACAAAGACTACCGCTCCAATTTGTTCCAACCGTCCTGTGGCGTTTGGTACTGATTTTCGATGCGCATTGCCCCCGCATTCCTCCTCCGTCTCCTCCTTTTCCTCCTCCTCCTCCTCCTCCCTCTGCTCGTCGTCCTCCTCCTCCTCCTCCTCCTTTCTCCTCCTCCTCCTCCTCCTCCTCCTCCTCCTCCTCCTCCTCCTCTCTTCCTCATCCGCCTCCTCCTCTTCCTCCTCGTCCTCCGTATGCTCGTCGTCGTCCTCCTCCTCCTCCTCGTCCTCCTCCTCCTCCCCCTCCTCCTCCTCCTCCTCCTCCGCCTCCTCCTCCTCCTTCTCGTCCCCCTCCCCCTCGGTTGCGCCTGCAGGCTTTCTCCACGCCATTTCGGCGCCCCGTTTCCCACGTTCCGCTGTCAATGTGATGTCAACGTGTGATGAACCAAAAAAAAAAAACGCGCGATTTCAAAAACAAATTCCCAGCCTGGGCGAATCGCGGGGGTACGCCCACCATATGGAAATACACCACGCTGGCACCAGTGATTCGCGGTGGCACCCGGCCGCCAGTTGGAAGGTGACAGGCGCGACGCGAGTGCGTTCTTGTGCAATAGGGAAGATAACATCGCACCCGCTACAACAGGGCGGTTGGGACAAAATGGGGGGATGCGCAAAGCGGCCGTGGACGATAACGACGACGACGACGACGACGACAACAACGAAAACAACGACGACGAAGTCGACGACGACGACGACGATGACGAGGACGACTATAGCACGTCAGTTTTCAACCTGGGAAACGTGGGACACTTGACCTTGGGTGTATACGGTCCGTGTAATTACACATTATATACGGACGACGATCGATTGGAGGCTGCCATGCAAGGGTGCACGCTATCCCCTCGACAGCGCCCGCGACGACCCCCTGGCGCGCGCAATTAATCACATAGTTTCGCGCCCCGTGGGGTTCTATTCACGAGCCATCGGAGGGAGGGGCTCAATTGTTAACAACAGGCTGACGTTAAGGGGGCTCCACCGAAACCGCTACTTACAATTACGGAAATCATACATGCGCATGGTTGAACCCTTCGCCGGGCTAGTCTCGGAGACTCGGATCTTTGGGGGGCGAGAAGGAAGAGGCGGAGGAGGAGGAGGAGAAGGAAGAGGAGGAGGATGAGGAACATGAGCAGGAGGAGGGAGAGGAGGAAGGGAGGGATGTACAGGGAGGAAGGGACGGAGGGAGGAAGGGACGGAGGGAAGGCGGGAGGGAGGGGGAGAGGGGGATGGAGGATTTGACCGCTGTGTTACTCTGCCACGATTCATCGTAATCGTACACCTGGCGGCCAGCCAGGCAGCCGTCGAGAACGGCATTTCAGTTGAGCACCACGCAGTTAAACATGCATGCTGAGCTGTCCACAGCGGCGCTGCAGGCACGCGAGCGATACTTGCCCCCAGGCGGAAGCCAGGAGGCCACCCATTCGAGCGTCAATCGAACACTCGCACAGCGATGAGGGCGTCCATGTAGAGCCACACTATGTCGCCCTTCGGGTGCCTGCCAGCAATAATTCGACTCCAATAGCGTTTGCCAAATGGGGGCAATTCGGCTTCCCAAAAAACTTCCCAATGAGGGGCCGCGCGTAGCCTCCCATGGAAAAAACCTTGCACCGCAGACGTCTGCACAGGGCACTGCCGCGAGAGCAATTCAAAGCAACGCGCTTGTGGCCCAAATCGATCAACCTTGCGCCGTCGAGCTTGTGAGTCTTGCTGCGAACGCTACTGGGGGACCGTGCGTACCTGGTCGGCCTCAAGCACTGGGATGCGCTGTCAATAGGTCTCTTTCCAAACCCAAGGGTGGCGAGCCTTGGGCACGGGGGCGACTGGATCCTGACAGCTGCTGGTCGCCCGCGGGAAGTCACATTGATCGGGGATGGACAGACCCCCCGTTAGTAAAACGTGGTTTAGTGAAAACGACCTGAGGCCCAAACCTGGCGGGCGCGAGCCTGGAAAATGACGGCCGCGGCGCCCCCTCGAGAACCGAAAACGGACAATTCACTAATCGACGTGTCACTGTTGGGGGTTCTGTCCACCCCCGAATTGAGGCCGCATCGAGAGCAATATGGCCGCTGATGTACACACCTTGCGAGCGATTGAAATGGCACGGGCGAACCGTTCGGTCGGCGCGGGGCTCGGCTCCTCGTGATCCAACGCCCCCAACTTAGCATGGCGCTCGGCCAAGTCGCCACCCGTCTTGCAACACTGCAGGCGGGGACCATCGGCAACCAGCTCGCCAAACACGTGACCCTTGACTCCCAAACGAACGCCCTTCTGGAAGTCAGCCGCCCTGACAAGCGCGTCCGCGTGCGCGCGGCGAAATGACAACAGCTCAGCGCGCGGCAGGGCGCACACCTCCACTACATGTTGACAGCCGCTGGAGCCCTCGGAAAAAGGGCGAAGGCATTCTAGCGCGCCGAAGTTCGCGCCGCAAACTCGCCAGCCTGGGCCGCCTGCGGGGCGGGGAAGGGGGGGCATGCGCGCGGCCACCTCCTGCGCAGAATTGGAAACCGCCGCGCGCGCCCACCCCGTCCGCGAAACTTCCAGGCAACAGACCGGATGCAGGGACCGCCCATGAAAACGGTGCCGTGGCCATGATGATCATCGCGACTGTCGGCTCCGCCTGGGTCGGGGCGGGACAGAAATCGCCGGGGCGCAAGGGAATGCCATGCGCGGGTCGCGCCTGGTCGCGCTTGCTCATGCCGTCCCATGGAACGAGGGCGCAGAGGAAACCGTTGCCTCGAATATCAAAGCGAAAAGCGGCGCGGGGCGGGCGCCGGCAGCGCGCGCTCCATGGAAGAAGGACCACATGGGGCACAGAAGGTATGGCAGCCCCTGGCCGCGCTCGGCTGCGCTGGCACTGGTCCACGGCGCCTGACAGGCGCCATCCCGCGGATGGTCCGTCTTTCCCATGCAGTGAACGTGGATGATGCCATCGCCACAAGAATCACATCCAGACAAGCACGACGCTCGAGACAAGAGCTGTTTCCGAAAGCCCGTTCGCGGGACGTCGCGATGGCAGCCCTGAGGAGACCTTGCAGGAGGGCTGGCGACGCAAAGGCAGGCAGAACCTCCGCCGCCGCCCCGACGCGAAGGGTCGCGACAACCTCCGTGCTCCACCCGAGACACCCCGCAGTTAGAGAGGCGCATGGCAAGGGGGGGAGGGGCGCGAGAACACCACCTCCCAGGCCTGGCGGACGTCGGCCATCGAGAGCCCAAGCCCTAACGAACCGGCGCGACTAGCCCATACCTCGCCCACAAGACAATGCGGGCCGCTGCGCAATAGCACGCGGGGTCGGCGACCAACAGCAAAAATTCCGCGAGAGGGCGCCCTCCGGCTGGCGAGGAAAGAAAACGCCCGAGCGATCGCCTCAGAGACGCCGGCTCGTGGTCCGAGGTGCAGTGTACCTCGCGCCCGCTGGCGCGACTGGCCAAAAATCGGACGGTGCAAATCTCTTTTGGCGCGGCGGCCGAAAGCAGCCATGTGCGCGCCGAAACTATGAACCTGATCGTTGAAGCTCACCTCCGAAACTGGCACAGACCTCCTCTGCGGGCGATCCTCCTCGGCTTACCCGCGGCAGCGTCGATGCCAACGTTGGCGGCGGCAAAGCAGGGCTGCCCTCCGACCGCGCCCCAACCGCGCCGGCCCCCCCTAGGGGCCAGAGGCCCGATGGCAAACGCAGCCGCCTGGAAGTAGGACCGCAGCGCCCAGGAGGTCAGCAGCGACCGCCTTGGGTCGACCGCCGCGTGACATAATATGATCGTCGATGTAAGCCTCCAGTGAGGTGGATTTTGGTGCGCGGAGCTAATGTGTTGCAGCTTGTGCAATGACGCCGTCGAGCGTGGTTGCGAAACAACATCCAGCGAATGTGCCAAGCCGTGCAAACGCGGGCTCTTGCACGCGACCGCTCGCTCATGGATTCGCGGCGGGCGGAGCGGCAGAACGAGTGGCAGACCCTGGAGATCTGCTGAGGGAAATCGTGCTGGCGGCAGCGGGCCAGGAGTGGATCGAGGTTGACCGATCCGTAAAACGTGAGAAGGCCCGACAAAAGGGGGCTCGAACGATCCTCCGAATCGACCGCGGCCTCGCCCCGCGCATTGCCGCCGCGCGGTGCCAACGCTAGAGGCGAAAACCAGCAGCGAAGAGATCGCGGCGACAGTTGGCGGACTCCCAGTCTCGAGCAAAGCCTCGTCGCGTACTTATCGTGGGCCGACTGATCGCGACGCGCAAACCCATCGGGCGTCGCCGATGGGCGCGGCAAAAATGAC